TTCTCTTATCTTTGGTAATTTTACCTATCTATCTTTTTGTTTATTTCTATATCTTTTCTAATATCTCTTATCCTATCTTTACTTATTTCGTCCGTTGGACCCAATCCCGGTTCCAAAAGCTAGTTTCGAACCCACGACTCGCTCTCCACCAACCATCTGGCTGCCGTCCGCAGTGTCTCCATTGGTTATCTTTCTAGCACCATCCAAAAAAGATTTCCGAGGTTATAATACCTCTAAACGGTTTAGGCGTGATGATGATATGAGCAAGAATGCAATTACTACTCAATACTAAGCATTATTTTTTGAAATAAATGATCATATTTTAATGGTAATGGATATACGTTTTCAGGATTGTGATAAAATAAAATTCGTAAGCTTAGCAGATACAACAAAATTTGAGTCATACAGTTTGACCTTCCCTTCTGACGCTTTTCAAAATTTATTTGAGTTTTATGGCACACAATTTATTAAACATCAAAGACTTAAAAGTGAGCTCTGCCTTCTTTATGCCGACGAAAATTACAAAAATGTGAAAGAAGAGAAAGAAGTTTTTCGTATTTAAAAAGATTAAAAACTTTTACAAGAAACACTATTTCACAAGATAGACTATCCAGTTTGACTGTTATCGCACTTCATAAAGAACTGTTGAATAAACTTAGGCAGAAGCATCTTTTCTACGAGGATATTATTGATAGATATGCCTCATTAAAAGACCGAAGGATTCACTTGATTTATAAAAACTAGATAAGTCAGTTCTATTAGTCTATCTAATACTGCTTTTTTTTGTTTAAGTATCTCTTCATTCTCGGTTCTAATATCATCACCATCATCATTCCGCAACCTCTTGCATCCAATTTTGGATATAGGTTTCCTCCATATTCTTCCATTGTTCTCTATCTTGTGCCATCTGTATCGAATTTTCCACTGTTTTTCTCAAGTCATCCATCCATCTTTTTAGTGGTCTACCTCGGTGTCTTTTATCTTCTCTAGGTCTCCATTAATATAGGAAATACCCAATAAAACACCTTTAAGAAAAGTCCACACGAATTGTCTGAAGAGGATATCCACTTGGAACGTTAGGACGATGGCTCAATCAGGAAAAATCCAATGCGCAATTAAAGAAATGGAACGCATGAAAATAGAAATAATGGGCATAAGTGAAATGAGGTGGCCTGACTCAAGTTATTGTGATATAGAAGACTACAGAGTATACTATTCAGGATCAGAAAATGGTAAATATGAGAATGGGGTTGGAATTATCACGCATAAAAGTATAGCCAAACAAGTCAACAATTTCATACCAGTGAACGATAGAATCCTCCTGTTACAAATAAATACGTCACCGGTGAACACAAACATCATACAAGTCTATGCACCCACAGCAGACCATAGTGATGAAGAAATATCAGAATTCTACAAACAAATAAGCAACCTTATAAGAGATATACCGAGACACGAACTCCTTATAATCATGGGAGATTTCAATGCAAAAATAGGTAACGGAAAAGAAGGGCAACATATTGGTCCACATGGGTTAGGAGAGAGAAATCAACGCGGAGAAACAATGAGTATCTTTGCAGCTGAGCATGACTTAATCGTGCTAAACACATTTTACAAACTACCGCCTAGACGCCTGTATACGTGGAAATCACCTAGAGACAACGAAGAAGACGTTATTATTAGAAATCAAATAGACTATATGCTTGTTAACAAAAGATATCGAAATAGTTTCAACAGTGTTAAAACCTACCCAGGCGCTGATATTCAATCTGACCACAATCCTTTAGTGGGCGTGTATAGAACTAAGTTAAAGAAAATACGCGGAAAAACTGTAAAAAAACATGACATGAGAAAACTGAAATGTAGCGAAGTAAAAGAAATAGTCAGCAAAACATTAAATAGAAAATTTAAAGAAATCAATAATACAACGGAAAGCACATAAGATAAGATAGAATCCCTTAAGAAAACAATAGACGACATTAAAGACAATTTTATGAAGAACGAAGAAGGTAAGAATAAGACATGGATGACGACAAAGATTCTGCAACTAATGGAAGAAAGAAGGAAAAACAAGAACGATAACTCCATGTATAAAACATTACAGCGAGAGATACGGAGAAAGATCAGAGAAGCCAAACAGAAAGAACTGGAGAAAAAATGCCAAGAAATCGAAATTCTCCAAAGTAAATACGACGACTTCAACGTGCATAAGAAGGTAAGAGAAATTACAGGTAAATGTAAAAACAGAAGAGTAAGTAAACTTGTTAATGACAATGGAGAGATAATCGTGGACAAAGAGAGTATCAATGATACCTGGAAAAATTACATAAGAAATTTATTTTTTGATGAGAGAGAGAACCAGCCCCCAATACCTACGGAAACAGGACCACCTATACTAGTGGCAGAAATAAGAGCAGCCATAATATCACTAAAAGAAGGTAGAGCTCCAGGACCAGACGGAGTACAATCTGAATTTCTTAAACTTCTTGATGATGAATCTTTAAGAGTACTATGTAAAATCTTCAATAATATCTATGACACAGGCAATATCTAAAAAGATTGACTACTTTCAGAATTTATTACCTTACCAAAGAAACAGGGAGCAAAAAAGTGCGGAGAATATAGGCTAATAAGTCTAATGAGCCATACATAACTTTTTCTTAAAATTATACATCGTAGAATATACAAGCTATGCGAAGAGAGAATACAAGACACACAGTTTGGATTCATGAAAGGCGTAGGTACAAGAGATGCACTGTTTAGTCTACAAGTATTATTTCAAAGATGCAGAGATATGACTTGCGATATTTACACCTGCTTTGTGGACTACCAAAAAGCATTTGATACAGTTCAACACCAAAAAATGATGGATATTCTAACAAAAGCCCAAATGGATGATAAAGATCGGCGTATAATACAAAATTTATACTGAAACCAATCAGCCACAATAAGAACGAATTTTGGAGGTTAACCAACGGAAATGATCCAGATTCTACGAGGCGTTAGACAAGGTTGTATACTTTCACCTATATTATTTAATCTATATTCAGAGGAAATATTTAGTGAAGCCTTGGAAAAATGCGAACATGAAATACTTCTAAATGGAGAACGCTTAAACAACATCATCAACATCATCAACAGCATCAACAACAAAATGAAGTAAGTGAAAGATTTGGACTTCAAGTAAATATAACAAAAACTAAATTTATGATCATCAGCAAAAATAAAGTTAGAGACGCTCAACTACTTATCAATAATACACCAGTGGACCGAGTAAAACAGTATAACTATCTTGGAACAACAGTAAATGAACAATGGGATCACTCACAGGAAATAAAATGTAGAATAGAGAAGGCTAGGAGTGCATTCAATAACATGGCCAAACTCTTTAAAAGCCACAATCTTAATCTGGAGATAAAAGTAAGGCTCCTACGATGTTATATCTTCTCAATATTGTATTACGGAGTTGAATCCTGGACACTAACTGAAGCAATGGAGAAAAAACTTGAAGCCTTCGAGATGTGGCTATACAGGCGAATTCTAAGGATATCATGGACAGACAAGATAACCAACGAGACCGTATTACGAAGAGTGGGCAAATAAAGAGAGGTGATGTATACCATTAAAAGGAGAAAGTTGGAATATCTCGGACATATAATGAGAAACAGCACTAAATACAGATTACTGAAGGTAATCCTACAGGGTAAAGTATTCGGAAAGCGAGGAATTGGGAGAAGGAAAATATCATGTTTGAAGAACCTGAGGAAATGGTTCTCCACAACAACAACGAATTTATTTAAAGCAGCAGTTAATAAAATAATTATAGCCAGAATGATTGCCAATATTCGGAACGAATAGGCACTAAAAGAAGAAGAAGGTCTCCATTCTATGAGTCTTTTGGTCCACATATTATCATTTAAACGTGCTACATGTCCAGCTCATCTTCATTTGGCTTGTGCAATTTTTTCTATGACATCTGTCACTTTAGTCCTCTCTCTCTTTCTCTTTCTATCTCTCTGTCATCCCGTTAGAGGTTGTTGGACCTCCATCGGGCGCCTCCTCAGTGGCGGATAGGGGAATGCCTCCTAGATATGGGTGGTACCGGGGAAATGAAATACTCGGGGCGGATCAAAACCAGTAAACACTGCAATGTCTGATCCAGAGTGATCGGCTGCAATCAGCATCTGACCCAAAGTGGGCTGCTGAATCGAAACTCAACAAACCCGTTTTACCAGGCGTGGTATTTTAATAGCCAAAAAACCCTCAATGAAATGTCGAAGGTTCAGAATTAAAATACTCCAGGCAAGCAGGACGAATCGTATCTGGTATAAGTGCCCTAAAAAACTGTTTTCAAGTTATTAGAGCCCTAAACTCTTTGGGCGCGACTTGGGTACCAAAACTCCTCTTGACTCCAGGAAGGTTTCCTCTTCACCACTTTTTTAGGCCACGAGCCGCCGCTCTCCAGCTCTCCATACCATACAGCAATGTGGAGAATATGTAGCAGTGTATTAATCTGATTTTAAGGTTTAACGTAATATCTCTAATAATTAGAATTTTCTTTAATTTATAGAAGGCGGCTCTGACTTTTTCAATGCGTATTCTTATTTCTTTATTTATATCCCAGTTATCGATAACGTTTGCACCCAAGTAGGTAATATTGTGGATTCTTTCTAAATATTGTGGACTTTTTCTAAATATTCTAAATATGTGGTAAATTCATGAATTTAATTAATTGTTTTTATAGTAACAGCCCAGTAACGGCAAAGAAAAGCCAGGTAAGTTTAAAGACAGAACACCAGCGCTAAATCGTCAAAATGAAAGTGTTCGTAGTCGTAAAAATGTATTTATATTTTAAATAAAGTTTAATAAAATATTCTTAATTATATCGGGCCGTGTATATTTTTCGATAAATTTTACATTTCTAAAAGTAGTTTTCTACGCCTATGTTTCCGATAATAACTGAAATATAATAACAAATCTCATTATCTAAATAAACAGTCTAACGATCTCCTTCCTGTATAATCCATTTCGTCTGATTATGTGGTTGTCAACAATAGCCGTGTTGCTGTGCGCATCACTATCTAATGCACTTACCTGCAATTTGTCTTCAGATCTGGTCAAAGAAATTCGTTCGTATCAAGGAACAGTCGATCAGATCATAAATGCAACTACACAAGGACTATTCAAGGGCAAAACCTACGATGAACTGGCGTATTTTGTTGATAAATTTGGAGCCAGACAAGCGGGAAGCCAGGTACTGGAAGATTCAATAGATTATTTACTGGATTTGATGCAGAAGGAGGGATATGACCTAGAAAATGTTCATGGAGAAAATGTTACAATTCCGCATTGGATTAGGTAAGTGCAAGACGATAACATTATTGTAAATAAAGTTTTGGTTTTTCTAATCTCTATTATGTCTGTTTTCTTTGTAAACATATTTTCTGTTCTGCATTATTTTACTTGTTTATACTTGTTATAGATATTAAAAATTTCTAAAATAATAAGAATATCTTATCGTCTTCGTCTCTTCTAATTAAGCTTTTTTTATAAGTTTATCTCTTGGGCAATACCAATATCAATTCGCTCCTAAAGCTTTCATTACAACTCAGCAACTTTTTGAATTGTATTCAAATTATTCATTAAGATTACCATTTTGACATAGAATATCATTTCGACGTAGAATGTATCCTAACCATCTTTAATGTTGTTCTACCATTTTGGCATCAATTGATCATCTCTACTCTTTTACGAGATATCCATTTATTCTCATTCTTATTTCCACCACATAAATTTGTTGTTTTTTTTTTTTCAGTGCCCAACATTAAATTCAGCTATATTATAGCTAGTATTACGGTAGTTTTATATAATTTTCCGGTCTTTCTGTAATACGACATACCACTCGCTTCCTTTCGTTCTCATTCATTACAATCTAACTCTATTGTACATATCTCTATATTTCCCCATTACTCTGTAATGAATACCGATTCTTCAAAGGCTATGTTATATGCAAAAAAAGAAGTTCTGCTTCTTTAGAGATTTCATTAGGGACTTGGTCTGCAACTTGCTCTAAGATAAGATTGTTTCTGATAATTACCCGATATTGGTCTGCTACTTTGTTCAGATACTTGGATTTCTGGGTACTCCCTGCAAAATTCGGCATACAGTTGTTGTCGATAGCCGTTCGTTTCTTGACCGAGGTTTGTCACCTTATAATAAAAGCGCAAAATATTTTCATTTATGGAGACAGTCCCTTTCATGCTGTAGTTTCAGCGCAGCACCTTCAACGAGTGGAGCTCTTGTTGTTTTTTGGCTCATTTGTGGTTCTTCTTATTGGTGGACTGTAGCTGATTGTATGACAGGGGCCCGCCTCCTTAACACCCTGCCACCGACGTCCCGCATGCTGTCACGTCCAGCTCCGGCTCCAGACCTACCCTGGCGATCCTGAGGCAGCGACCCTAAACATAAATTATTATACTCCATTTTCATGGGTGTGCTTTTTATATCTACTGCCAGATATCAGTTTTCGTTCCACGGCAGGTATGCCTACTACCTTTTGGGTATCGGTTCTAAGAATACCCATAGGGTATGTGGACATTTAGAAGATTGTTAAGGATTCCATGGCTAGATAGAGTCAGGAATGCAGAAGTGTTAAGGAAAATAGGCAGAGAGAAGGAAATGGAAAATACAATAAAAGAAAGGAAATTGCAATATCTCGGACATGTAATGAGAGGTGAAAGATTCAACATCTTGAGACTCATAATTCAAGGAAAAATAGAGGGTAGGAGAAACGTAGGAAGAAAACGCGTGTCCTGGTTGAAGAGCATGAGAGAGTTGTTTAGTTGCAGCTCAAGGCAATTGTTCAGAGCAGCTGCCTCGAAGGTCAGAATAGCCATGATGATTGCCAACCTCCGTCGCGGAGATGGCACTTAAAGAAGAAGAATTATCTGCGCTATATAAAATTGCAGTGTCATCGGCAAAACTTACTATCTTCCCCTCAGTATTGAGACTATATAGATCGTTGACATGGATATTGAATAGTAGTGGTCCTAATACTGTACCTTGGGCACACTGCATCTTAAGTAAAGTTTATTGCTATTAATATTATTTATGCTAACAATTTTTTATCTGTTTTCCATTTAAGACTTGAGTAAATTATGAGCAGTACCGCGTATTCCACTATTTTCTAGTGCTTCTAGTATGTTTGGATGGCTTACAGTATCGATTGCTTTTGGCAGGTCTAGAAACAGACAAGCAGTAGGTTGGCTATTGTCAATTCTATTGTATACTTCATTGGTGCGTTCTTCGGTGGGTTTGATCATTTGTCAATAAACCTTCACGAAATCCAAACTGCGAAGACGATAATATGTTGCATTTATCAAAGAAAGATATTAATCTGATTTTAAGATATTTTTCAAAGATTTTTGTTAACATGGTAATTAGGTAGTGAGATTGGTCTATATTCTTTCTTCTTGTATATAGGAATTACAACTGTTTCCTTAAATTTGTCTGGACATTGACCACTTTTAAATATTAAATTTATTAGTTCCACCAACGGTTTGATGATTTGTTTATCTATAATATTTATTGTTTCTGCTCTAATGTTGTCAATACCGGGTGATTTTTTCTTCTTTAGTGTTTTAATAATTCCATCAATTTCACTTTCACTTTGTTCCACTTTATCAGATAATTTTTATTGTAGGTCTTACAAATAATTCTAACCACAAAACGAGTGAGTGAATCGGGTATGCGGTCTGTTATTTAAAAAAAACTCTTTTTTCTTTTAATTCTCTATATTTCGCTGATTTTTTGTCAGCTTCATCAGGAGACAACTAAAATATGGTTAAAATTTATATAAATAATTATATAAATAATAATAAATTTATTTAAATTTTAACCATATTTTAGTTGTCTCCTGATGAAGCTGACAAAAAATCAGCGAATATAGAGAATTAAAAGAAAAAAGAGTTCTTTTTTAATAACAGACTGCATATCCGATACACCAATACAAGTAATTGTTATTTACGTTTCGGTCAATAATCCTACCAGTTTTGCTATAGTATATATATATATATATACATATATATATATATATATATATATATATATATATATACATATATATATATATATAAATATATAGATATATATATATATATATATATAATGTATATATATATGTATATGAATAAGCAGAGGTTTTATCGGTCAATAATTGGCAAATAAAAGTCGTCAACTATTTTATTGATTTATTCGAATACGTTTCGCTTTTATTTTTAAAAGCATCATCAGTTCACTACGAACAAAAAAGATTTTAAGAGTACAAGTAAACAATCAACAAGGTTCATACTCACAAAAACAATTAGTAGGTTTTTTTTAGATGTTATAAAAACTCTACGATAACTTAACATTAAAGATTAACAACTAAACGAGAGAAGCGAAACAAAAAATACAAGAAAAACTGTAAGAACACTATTGTTCATTTAATTTTAACCGATGGCTTCATTTGAATGTTGGTTTAAGCTCTTTCGAGAATCAAACCACACTAGTCTATTCGATTGTTTCCTATCAGCTCTAGGATGTCATCATTTTCACATGTGGCTTATTGTCGTATACATGTGTTTCTTTGGAATGCAGGGAGGACGGTCAGACCTTTTTTAAAAAAGGATTAATTTTTTTCTTTTTCCTTAAAGAACAAACAAGCAAAAAAAATTGGAAAGAAGAATGGGAATGAAGTTGATGGCTTGTAAGGGGGATTTTGTTTTTATTATTATTTGTTTTGTATGACGAGAGAGTGATATATCTGGCTCAACTTGTTGATGTCGGTTCTCTTATTTAGGGATGATGGATGTTTTAAAATTTGACACATTTCAAGGATGGGTCGCTTATGATAATTTTTTTGTTTGCACAGTATTTTGGTATTCGTGAAGTCGATACTGTGTTTGGTTGAAATGGCATGTTGTGCGAGGGCACAAGATGGTTTAGAAATCCTAATGTCGCTTTTGTGGGACGTTGAAGGAACCTTGAAGAGAGCGGCAGGTCGGGCGAATGTAGCAGAAGTTGCACTCTGCACTGGGTACATGATACACGACATTAGTTTGTTCTAGAGGGGCCAATGGAGTTTTTGTCTTCGAAAATAACTTTCCTAAGGTTCTGGTATTTTTAAGGGTATTTTGACAGGTAAGTTTTTAAAAAGTTTGTTAAGCTTGTTAGTGATTTGTGGGAAGTACGGGAGCGAAGCATATTTTGTGGTTTGTTCAGGAGTGAGAGGGGACATTTGTATTTTGTTAGATATGGACGCTAACGTTAGCCCGTTGGGTGTTTCAGTAATGGACTGTCCATAGCTTTTGGAATATAGAAATTTATTGATGATGGATGCCGGATAAGAGTTATCTATAAGAATGGACTTCAGCAGATTGAGAGATTCTTCTTTGTAAAGCGGGTGTGTCAACATGTGTACTCTAAGGCTGATTGTATCAGGTTAAGTTTATATCTAATTGGGTGTGTCGAATGGTAATTTAAGAAACGGTTGCTAGTCATTTCTTTTCTGTACCAGGTAGTGACTAATCTGTTATCCGGTGTGCGAATAATTCGCATATCTAAAAACGGGATACTGTTATCAAGAATTGTAGGTAAGGATCAAAGCAGTAAAAAACTGATAAGGAATATATATATATATATATATATATATATATATATATATATATATATATATATATATATATATATATATATTGTAATGATTTTGTATTTTTGATTTTAATTTATTTACTTGAAACAATCACAAAAATATACTTTCTCGTTATCAATGTCCTAAAAAATAAACTTCTGATATTTCTTATGTTCAGTGAGTTCAAAGTTTTCTAGTTGTATTTATCGGGATAGGAAAAACAAAGGATAATAATAAAAAGTATAATACATAAAATACAGATATTTTTTATTTTATAAAAAAAAAACAATTATTAAATTTGCCGTTATCTTTTCAATCAGCGAATATGCATGTAATGAAATTAATACAAAAAGAAAATTTTAATTCTTATTTTCTTCTTGAGACAAAACAATTTGAAACTAATTTAAATTTGGATACCTTTATAAACTTTTATCTTCCTTATATTTAAAAAATCTATTTTATTATGGAAACAAAACTTTAAAACATTTGATAAATGTAAAAAGGTCTAATCATGCTTTAAACTGGTAACAACAATGAGGTAAACAAATCGCATTTAAGATTTACACACCTTTCAACTTGAAAAAGGAAAATATCTGACCTTTCTTCCCTGGATTGTTTTAGGACCACACAAAGAATTGTCCACCTTCCACAGCAATGTGTTCTTCCACCTTGCGCCTCGGCTTCTTGT